TATGGTATAGTATTATTTTTTTTTGTATATAAGTATGGTATCGTAGTTAGTATAGAAGTGCGGTCAGTTTTTCTAGTATGGATAAATTATCAAATAAAGGAATTAAATATCTTTTTTTTGGTTTTCCTAACCAGAATTATGAATATTTTTGCCAGGAATGCAATTACTATAAAATAGTTGAATTTTGTAAGATTTGTTTTCTCTATTACATGCTTCCTAGAGTTTAAAAGTTTATTTTCAGTAGTTTGAAATTTGGTCTATGTTCAAGAGGTCTCTGTTTACCATAAATATCTGTGGTACATTATATACACAATCACCCTAGGGCATTCTACAGAAGGCTATTGCAAATCGTGATAATGCTCCTTTGCCCTATTACAGACCTTTAACTGCTTTCAGCCCAGCTCTTACGTTACATATGAAAAAAGATATTTAAAACAACACATATCGTCCCAAAGAAAAAGGCCGTCAGAAATTTCATACTACTGGTAATGAATTTTTACTTTTATTTCACTTTAGAATCATTAATAGGGATTATTTTATGATATAACCTTCCTCAATGCTGCTCGAATTTAAGGAAGATGATACTAAACAGACAACAAATTTTTTTTTATTACTTCTAGCCTGTGGAAAAGTCAGTTAAACTTGTGAGACAGGTTTCGAATAAAATATGTTAACAGAAGGTATTGCGATGGATATATTAACATTATAGCACTATACATTATAGCATTCTAAAATCTTTATCAGTTATTCGTTATTTCTCAAAAAAAATTAACTTTCGATGTGCAACAATGCAGTAAACCAAAGAAACCTTCTCTCTCACCAATAAGCGTACGTTTATTTGTAAATTTAATGTAGATACCACAAAAAAAATTGGATTGTTGATTGTTGACCAAATATGTCCATGTCGTGAGTTTTAGGTTGTTTAACTTCTGTTTTATTTTAAATCAAAAGCCTTAGTCAACATAAAAAAAAAGTTTAAAAAATTTGAAATTTTCTTAAAAAATTTAAGCGCGATCCATAAACTGAAGATAGCTGATTCTAGAAATTCTTATGTCGTTTTTATTACTACTAAAATAGTCAAATTTTCCGCACTAAAGTACTTTGACCCAAACCAATTATCATGCTAATAAACTACTAATTTATTATTCTGCTAATTAATCTCGTTTTACGCAGATTTCATTGAGAATATAAATTTATTTCTGACTAACTTCATTTTCCAGAGAAAATTGTTATTTCCCCGAACGTTAAAATGCTAATTTTTCCGATTGAAGACATAGAAACCCTTAATTTGTTGATTTTAATGAAAATTTAAAAAGGTAATAAAATTCAGCCAATGTAACATTTGGATTTTAATTAAATTTGCACAAGCTTATTGCAAATTGTTTCGCTCAGGAAGCAATTAAATCCATAAAAATAACTCAACTTATTAATTTTTTAATAAAAACTCTTTTCTTCACGGTAGTGTGGCTTAATTTAATGGCAACACGTCTCAAGACTAATAAGCAAATATAGATATATATAGGTTGTAACAAATGAAAAATAAGGAAAATATATATAAGAAAAAAAAATATATATATATGTTTATGCGATAGATAAATCACATTAATATACATAAACTTACAACTTGCAGAAAGTGACTTTAACAAGCAAGTAACACCAAAAAAATTAATTAGGAAAATGCGATATTACATATCATTCGATCTTATTAAATTTTGCTTCACATCTTAAATTCATAATAAAAGTAAAATAAATAATGAGGGACCACTTTTTTTAAAATTTACCAACTAGTTAAAAATAAAATTCATCACATCATTCCATCAAGAATTTAAGTTTAATTGGAGCTATATTATTTTGTTTACCATAAAACAAATCATCCTATCTTTGATTGATTTTTTTTAGTAATTAAATGGAAAAATCCTGAATTTACGGGGCATATCTTTCACACATATGCAAGCTTTGGGGGAATATTTGTTTTCTAAAAATGCTGAGTTTTATACACAGGGTGTGCCTAGCAAATGTTTACATGGTATTTAAATCATTTAAGTTTAAATGCACGAGAAAATTGCTCTTGATAAATAAGTAAAATGAATTTTTAAACAACTGCTACACATACTAGTTTGAGGCCGATGAACATTGCTTTTGAAGTACAGATAGTATTACCATTAAATTAAACATCTCAAAGAGAATGCTTCGATCTAATATAATTTTACTCCTTTAGATCTAAATGAATTTCTACCAAATGAATTTGAAGCTGATTGATTCGCTTTGAATACTGAACTGTTTAACTATTCCGAATCCTATACAAAGCCGTTTAGATGACAAATATCATTAGATCTCATTAAATTTTGTTTTCTATCATATTAAGAAAATCTTCGTTTTAATCCGTCACGTAAAACATTATAATAGGTAATACTTATGCCAAAAATTGTCTTGAGATATAGACTATGCTTTAAATACCTAATCTACAAAAATGCTATAAAACGTTAACCTTACTCATAAAAAAACTAAATAAAATTGTCGTTTGCTATTGTCAAACCGACGTGGTATTGCCTTTTCACACGAATGAAGTTTTACGGACTAAAAAACTGAACTTTTTAAACGTTTTTAATTATTAGGGATGCTTTTCAAAATATTATGCGTACTTTCTATCTATGCTTTAAATGTATAAGTATCAAATGCCAATCAGTAAAAATTCCACTTATTCTTATCCATAAAACCACTATGTAAAATTGTAGTTTGTAACTGCCCCTTTGCCGTGGTATTGCCTTGTCTGTAAGATGAAATTATCTAATACAAAATTGGGAGAAATATTTTTATATACTGAAACAAAATGTTTTGAAACAAAATGTATACAAAAAATTAAATTGTATGCAAATATTGAGTGAGGCAATATGGTAAAAATAAATGATAAAAATATAAGTGTCCTTATTATCTTGATTTATATGCACAATTATCCTAATAACTGTACTTTTTTTAAGCTTTCTTAAAATCGAACGTGCATCTTTAATTGATGAAGATTTATTCAGATTTTTAAGTCACTGTTTAAGAAAACTATTTTCTGCTGCTGAAACAAAGTAGGTAAAAAAAGACAATTTAAACTTATTAATACTAAAAAATTAACTACTTCCTATTAAACTTTTTTTAAATTCTTTTTCATAAAATTGAAACTACAGAACTAAACCATACTGCATAGTTAATTAAAAAACTAATTTTGATTTAACATAAATCTACTATTGTATGATTTGTAAATACTATTTCCCTCTATAAAAATGCTGTTTCTCTTAAAACTATTGTTAATACACTCTTAGGGTCAGCAGTTGGACTGAAGGGTATAGGACATCCGAAATCCATTTGACCTAACGCCAACATTTCAAATCCAAGTTCATCTTTAGTTCCATACCGAGACTCAGAAACATGAAAAGAGATCCACTATTTGCTCTTTTTTTGAGAAATAATACTGCAAAAAATAAAGTTAAATAATTTTGCTTATAAATTAATCAATAAAAAGGCGGTTAGAATTTAATACAACCCTGTAACTGAAAGATTTATGTGGTTAAAAAAATTAAGCAACTTAAAGAAAATAAGAATAAAATTAGATTTCGAAATTCGTTTTGTAGCGACATTAAATTATAAGTAGTTGTGCACTTGTAATGGATAGAAAATTAAACGTAACATTTATTGTTGAAAGAAAAGAAAAGAGATATTTAGATAATTTTTTTTTTATAAAATGGGATAAAAATTAAATGGTTGATTTAGTTTAATTAGAGGAGAATTAGTAATGACTGAAACATTAGTAAGAAATTTATAAATTAAAGAAAATTTCGACGATGTAAAGGTCTATGTTAGGTCTATGTTTAATATTAGGAACATGTAATGACTATAATGGCATCACAGTTAAGTTTCTCTATTAGAAATGTATAATGATACAGTTATGTCATTTTTTTTATAATCTTGTACTGTTCACAAAAATTCTAAGACACTGTAACTTCGAATTTTTTTTTGCAAAAGACGTTGTTGCTGTCCCTCTTCATCTTTTTTTAAGAGATTTTGGTGAAATTTCCTTCCCAAACTTTTTATGTTTTATCTTCATGGTTTCAATTAATGTATGATAAGTCTCTAAAACAATATAAAATTCCATTTCAAACAATATAAGTCAGAAATTTGTTGAAAAATCAACCAAAAACATACTTGTGATTTAGAAATTGTCAATAAATGCAGCAAGCAACTGTTTTACTGAGCAGTTTTATAAGTCAAATGGATATACAAAAATTAAATGTGCTTTGGATGGTTAGCGCGAATAAGTTTTGTAATTTGGCCGAAAGAATCTAGTCACCAAGCAGTATGGAGGCATATAATAAGATTAGACTGGCAGCTTTTTTTTTCACATGCTTCAGTGTTATAAAACCATGTTTTTTGATTAAAGTTTTTTTCTTCTACGTGTTTTATATTTCACTGTTCATTCATTTTCTTAAGTCGTCTAAATTAAGCTGAAAAATCAGAAAAATATAGTAAGGAAAGATGGTGTTTGAGAAACATGCTTCTATAAAAGCTGACATAAAAAAAATCTTAATACTCAACTTTGCACGGTATCATACAATCATATCAAAGCGTTATCACAAATGAATTATATTTAAAAAAATATCGATATTTTTTAATTTTTCTTTTAATTTTATCTAAATTTATTATATGTACTATTATTTATGTTTATATTTAATTTAAAGTATAAACAATATCAAAGAAAGCTCAAATGTTAATACGTATTATAAGAGATAAATACATTTTTATACTTCATAGAAGTGCATTTTATACAATTATTTATTTTTATTTTTACTTCAATTCCAGGATCCATTTTTTTACCGAAACAATGAAGGAAAAAAATATCATTTCTTATGAGTGCAGTTGTTTTGAGTCTTAACGGAAATGAAAGGTAGTTTTAGTTAATGGTTATTACATCTGTAATTGCGTATTAAATGACGTTGGAGACTTGGTTTCTCCCTCGATAACAATCTTTACGTGGTATGTAATGGGTTATAGTTCTCTTACAAGATATTTCCCTTTGTTAAAAAATAGTACTTTAAACAGAGTATTTTCGGTCAATATATCTTTTTTCCTAGTAATTCAGAAGCATTCTATTGCATTTTCCTTGATTCTTATATTTGATTTTCGTCAATATGAGATGATTAACATTTTTCTATCACAGGTAATTTTTAATTTGTAATATTTGTTATTCCCATGTAAGATATATCTTTTGTTCAAATTTAGTTAACAAAAATGAGAGGTTTTGGTCAATAAATTTTTTTCTAGTAGTTCACATATTCTGTTAAAATGGATGCTCATACATCACGAAAGATTTTTTTTTGTTGTTTCTAATGAAACTAATTCCTGGTAGGGGAGAGTCGGGTAGCTCCACCCCTTTAAGGAGTATTGCTTATATTTCTGTATAATATTGAGTAATAATCAATACTTTTGTATGTTTCTATTGTTTTATCGACTAATTAAATAATGCAAAAAGAATAAACCAAAAAAAAAAATAGTTTAACTTAAAAATATAGAAATTTAAAAAAACATGTCTTTCAGCTATTTTCAAAATGTGTCGGGTAGCCCCGCCCAGTTACAAAAATTACGTTTTTTGACTGTTTTTTCAGGTGTAAATGAAAATGACCAATGTATTGACAATAAATAAACCTCGTTTATCATTTTTGTCTAAATTATTTTATTTATTACATATTTATACACTTTTAGTGAATTCTATCATTTAATAACAATCATTTAATAACAACAATATTTGCTCTTAAAAATGCATATAACATTCAAATTTGGAGCAATAAAATAATAATCTTTTCAACCGTACATTTATCGACGAAATAAAATTGGGCGGTGATTGAGCGGGGCTACCAGAAATCCAATATTTTTGAAAATTTGTAATTACTCGAACAATTTTTCACATATAAACTTCTTTCTTCGTGCAAATTAAACTTAAGACTACATACTTTAATGCTGTATGTATAAAAAAAATTATCTTTTTAGTATTGAAATGAAGTTTAATCGAAACATTCAACCAATTTTTCTTAATTTCATGACTACTGTATTCAACATATTTTAAAAACTATTGTTTCCTATGTTACCAGCTGCATAAATACTTGAAACTTTGAAAATAATATTTTTTTATATAACAATTAATGTTCGATGACCCATTGACTTGAAAAAATATTCTATACATATGAAATTGACAGTGGGTGGGGGTACCGGCTGGGTGGGGCTGCCCGACTCTCCCCTATATGCTAGGAGAAAAAGTTTCGTCAAAGAGACGAAATAACTATCGTTACTTTTTCGAGCGGACGAATTTCTTCAAAAATAACAAAATATTAAATTTCCCAAAAAAAATCATACGACTGCTGAATCGTCAAAACTGAGAGTTTTATCTCTGTTAGTGTACATTACGTTGCTTAATATTTGTGCACCTAATATTCATTAATATGAGATGAGGAGTATTTTTGTGTTGAAGGGAGTTTCTAATTTTCTGTCTTTATTATTCAATTCTTTTCCTTTATTCAGATATACTTCTTGAAAAAGTATATTTTNTATATATATATATGCATTCATAATGCATTGTTCAGCACAGACGTAGGTATTGCAATGAAATATTTCTTCATTCTTCTAAAGTTTTTTTTTAGCATTTCTTATCAATATTTAGTATCCCCATTTTCACAATACTGCAACATTTATTTTTATATTTATGAAGCCATATTTATTTTTTATAACTGTAAATTTAAGATAAATATCCTTCTCAATTAGAGATAACTGTTCGTAAAACAACTAAATTTACCCGTTTTATATGAATATATGGGAAACGTTTAGTCAAATAACCGTTACAGCATTAAGACAACTTTATTAGGTTTTTAGTAAAATTGATTTTTTGGTTAAACCATATTATTAGTGCATTAAAATTACGGTTCGAATTTTCTGATACCTTAGTATCGTTTAATACGTTATAATTATTTAGTCATTTCAGGTAAAACACAGTATCTTGTAATCAAGTTTGTGACTCACATTAATGGGATTGAAATTTGCATTGAATTAACAGTTACAGATAATTTAATCCAAATTTTCAGTATGAAAAGAACTATCTTAGATTGTAATTATAAGAAAAAAAGGAAACAACTATTAATTTCTGTATTGTACGAAAAGTAAAAATGTAATGCAAAATAAATCGCTCAATTTATCAAAAATTAAGTAACTCAATGTTTCTAGTTTATGAAATGAAAAAAAATTCTACACAATTATATTTCTTTCAATTAATTCATGAATTTTATTAATTCTTTAAAATTATTCTAAGCAATTATATTAGTTTTTCCAAATTGCTTTTTATTATGAAAAAATTACTTTTTGCTTGCTTGTGATTATTATTTAAAATAATAATTTAATTCATAAGTAATTTTTCAGCTTAGAAACAAAGGCGAATGAATAAATATACATTTCTTAAATAAATATTAATTTAATAATGAATATGAGTTGAATTTAAGATATCCAACTTGCATATTAAGTATTTTCTGAATTGCACCGAAACTCGGGAATATTGCCTCTCAAAGTTTGTCTAACATGAATGAATGTCTTGAGGTACATAAACTCGGAAGATTTCCAATCTTCCGACTTTAGACTTTGATCTCAATTTATTCTGTCCAAGTCGAAATGCTCCTCCTTTGAGTTTCAGAAACCTCCTCGATTACCTAATTTTCCGCTACAACTCTGGAACAGTAACATAAAATTCTCTTGCAACAAGATTCGGCTACATCTAAAACAGTCTCAATAAAACCTTATATTTTTACCCAGCTTATTGGACGTGGGAAATTTCTTCCCCGTTGTCAAACTCTAAATTAGAATGAATGGAGGTAATATATGTTGTAGTGTTTTATGCTTGGTTCTTAGTTAAATGAAACGAAATATATTTATTTCAAGATATATAAAATACGACAGCTTAATAAAATAAAGTCTAAGGAGTTGTTAGCATAACAGCAGTTAATTTTTAAAAAAAATGATTTAGACAGTAAGAAAGTTGGGTGATGTGAGTAAATTACAAATATCTAGAAAAAAAAGAGATAGTTTTAGCGAATACACTTTAATTGCGGTTTTACAGAAAAGTAATTTTTTCGTTATTCGAAAAGCATCTTAAAAGCAGAAACACAGAGACGCTGAATAAAATTACAAACAAGCTAACGAAAGATATATTTGTTTTGATCAATCAAAACTGGGAAGGAAGCTTAATAAAAAGTAATCAAGGAAAGAATGAGAGAAATGCAAGTATGTAATGGGGGTAAGGTTGTAATTCTAATTGTATAAACATTAGAATAAACGAGTTTCCAAACATTATGAAAATATATTATGTTATCAGAAAGGTTGTTATTATTATTTTTTTTAAATTTTTAAGTAACAGAATGTTTCCTAGAAATCTAGATCACTCGGTGAAGAACGCTAATGAATGATTTTGGCAGAAAAAAAGACTAAAAGTTATGATAAGTTTAGCCTCATTAGATAATTCAACATATTGATTTTAAACTTGTCATTTATGTGCTTTAAATTAAAGTTTAAGGATGCATTTAGTTTTCCAACATATGCTATAGCCTACTCACAAAGAATTTGATTAATTGCTCTTTTATGACTCATGTGTTCATTATGGTACATGTTAAGGTCATTTTTATAAAAGCTTTAATTTTATATATATAAGACAATAATAAATAGCATTATAAATTATTGTTTATAACTAATGTTTATGAAATCATTTTTAATAACGCTAACTTCTTTCGTCAAGTCAGAGGCCTTTCATTTGAAGGTAAAAAAAAATAAATTATTTCTTAAAATAGAAGTAATTATCTTCAAATGGAAAATATTGAGCAATCAGGCTTCTAGAGAAATTAAAGCTATCTTAACTTCTAGGAATCGTTAATAAAGTTTTAAAAAAATGCAGTATATCAGTATTGGAGAGATTTTTTGCTGTTTAAATATTATTTTTTCCTTGAATATATAAACATAAATGAAAATACAGCAACAGTCGACACACAACATATATTTATGTCGTAATAAATTGAGCGTAAAATTCTAGGAGAGATTTTGCAGAGCAAATTTTGATTGTTGAAAAAAAAACAGTCATAAATTTCCAATTTATATTTCAATAAACATGCTGACAGAAAAAAGGGGAAAAATTAATTTAAATTTTTGAAATAAATTCAAGATCATCCTTAAAGTTTTTAGTTCAACTTTCCTTGGTTTCATATTGGCTGTATCTTTTCAATTATTATTTTTTTTTCCAATAAGTAAATATATACTGATTTCTTTTATGCATATACTGTAAAACTTTTGATCGCTAGATTACTGCCAGTTACCAGCAACCATTAGCTAACATTAAAAATACATTTCAGACCGTAAAACTTGCATGACCATAAAAATACAGATCACAGATTCATTCGTAAATTTATTCTCGTAAAACAGATGACCACTAACAGAAAATTTGCATCATGCTAGTTGTCTTCAGTACGAAACTGTACATTGCTTGGGACACAAATGATTTATAAAGCAAATTAATTGAAACAGTAAAAAAATGAGAATTTAATATATTGCTATTTTTAGAATAGTTAGAGATTCACGTATTTGTAGTCCAAGACGAGTAAAATAGAAGGGATGCAAGGATCCAGTTGGGTTCAGACTCGGCATCATCGTGCCTGTGGATTGAGAATGTATGTCCGAATTGAGCTAATAAGCTTTATATTATAGGTGATAAATTGACGGTTAACTCTACTAATTTTACCGACATTTGTTTCAATTACGGCTGACCGCAAAGAAGAGAGCTTAAATTAAAAGCTATGGTCTTTCTGAAACAAATTAAATTATATTATTATTTTTCATGTTTAAAATATGTACGAAATAAAAAACTTTTATGCACTTATTTTAATTGTTTAATATTCTAATGCCCGAACGTTATAACACAATTACGATATCCCATTCTTCATTATCAAATATATAATGATGTATTTAAACAACACATTTTTTCTAAACCATCAATTATTAATAAATGTACTGAATTAATTTTAATGATGCCATCTATTTTAAATCTATAGATAAGGAGAATTATATTTACTCCGTTACAATAGAAAAGTTTTACGGTGCATTCAATCAAACTTTTGTTTCAAATGCTGACATGATCATACG